GGGGCTCACGGGCTTCAGAGTCACCACGGGCGCATCCTGAAGGAAGTTTTTGCCGTGCGGGCGCATCACGGCATGTACTGCCCGCAGCTAGGCTTAAAAAGGTTCTCTGATTTCGAAACAGAGGATGATCGGCCGGTCGCACTCGCTACGGCTGTGCCAATTCCTCTGTCTGCCAATGTTCGCCTGACTTCTTCGGTTTCGTCTTCTCCGGGCTGCTTCGTCGTGTCGAGGAGTTTCTTCATGCTGCTCGCCTCTTTCCAAACTCAGCGCAAGTTTCGTTTCAGAGCACCGGGAACCAAACACAGACCAAACGAGCGCTGCCGACGACTGTAGGCAGCTGATCTGATGTTCCGTTTCCGTTTGGTATGCTGCATTTGCCCGTGGGCATCTTGGCACACTCAGCGATTTCACCCCACGGCCCTCTCTTGCGGCCCGCCTGGCGAAGATGGCCGGTAGCCTGTGCAGTATCCATGCATACTTCCAGATCGTGGATGAGGCACGTGCCACGACGGTCATGAACACATACGTCGAGAGCACCAAGGCCCGTGGGTTTAGGCGGCTATTTTTGGCTGCAGCTGTAGCATTGTTCCCTCATGTTGTGTTTATGCCTGAAGGCTGAGAAGGGCTGTTTGTGGTATGCATGGGACCGAGCCGGGAACAAGTTGTTCTGCAACGAGGCTTATGAGGATGCGCAGGCTGTGCTTACTCACATGAAGAACCTTGAGAAGCTCGGCGATTTCAATGGTGCTGCCAAGCTCACTCAGATTGAATTTCATGGGCAATCTGTGGAACTTGAGAAACTTCGGGCCACCGCCACGGCTGTCAACGCCCGGCTTTTCACAGAGGACCAGGGTGCAAGCTTTATGCACCCGGTCTCAGGAGCAGAGGCATGCACCCCGTCAACGTTGTGTACAGTACACGCGTACTACGACTTGATGGACGAAAACAAGGCGGAGCCCGTGCTTGCCGACCTGGCAGCAAAGACGAAGACGGAGAGAGGCTGCCTGTACTACGGATGGACGAAGGCGGGCGACACGCTCTTCTGCCGGGAGGGTTACTTGGACTCAGCTGCTGTGTTAGCCCACCTAAGCAACGTGCAGTCCTTTGGGGGTTTGTCCAACTGCGCGACGTTGCGGCGGTTGGAGCTCCACGGGCCGGCCGCAGAGATCGCCAAGCTGCGCCAGGTCGCGCAGGAGATGAAAGCCGAGTGCTTCGAGCGGGCGCCACGACCAAAAAGAACAGCTAAGCAGCATTTTGTGGTTCTATGTTTTGCAAGACATGTCAAAAGGTGTTTTTCTTTCTTCGCCCTGCTGCTTCTGAGGTGTCCGGGTTCCAGCGCCTGGAGTTAGACTCGGCCGTGAAGGCTTCGGCTGTGGGAGGAGTGGTTTTGGATCCGGCGGTCTTGCGGGACTTCTGCTCGATCCATGCCTACTACAAAGTGTCGAACGAGGAGGCCGCCAAGGGCCTGATAAAGAGCTTCGAGGCCAGGACCAAGGCGGAGAAGGGCTGTTTGTGGTATGCATGGGACCGAGCCGAGGAGAAGTTCTTCTGTAACGAGGCCTACGTCAATGCCGAGGCCGTCCTCGCACATGTGCAGCATCTCGAGGGTGTGGGCTCCTTCGATGGGGCCGCTAAGCTCACTGAAATCGAGTTTCATGGGCCTGCAGCAGAACTGGAGAAGGTGATGGGCACTGCAAAGAAGCTCGGTGCTTCCCTTTTTGCCTTGGAGTCGGATGTGAACTTCAGGCTTGTAGATTTCTGCTCAGAGGGTAAACCTGCCGACCTGTGCACCATCCATGCCTACTACAAGGTGACAGATGAACCTGGCGTGAATGATGCGCTCGCAGAACTGGTGAAGTTGTCTCGCGCAGAGGAGTCCTGTATCTACTACGGCTGGACCCGTGCGGGCTCCAAGCTCTTCTGCCGCGAGGGCTACACCAGCGCGGACGCTATCCTCGCGCACCTTGAGAATGTCTCTGCCTGTGGCGACCTTACAAAGTGTGCCAAACCGTACCGCATCGAGTTCCATGCGCCGAAGGCGGAGATTGCCAAGTTGCAGGGCACAGCTGACAAGATGGGAGCTTTTTGCTTTTCGCGGCAGTCCGGCTTCCAGCACTTCCGGGCCAAAACCTCTGCACCTTCTCGTCCCTTGCCTTTGAGGAGCAGCGGCGATGATGGCCTGGAGCACCTCAAGAAGCAGCTCCTGCGAGTGGCAGTGGTGCTGAAGTACGTGGGTTTGGGGGGGCACATGCTGGAAATCTTCCTGGCGCTCCTTGGCAAGCTGGCCCAGCGCAGGCTCACGACTTTCCCTAGGATGAATCTACTGGCAAGCCTTCTGATCGTCCTGGGACTCCTCGCAGAGCGGCCGCCGCGGCTCTCTCGACTGCAGTAAGCGCGGCAACCCGGCAGAGCACCAAAAGCGTGGCAAAGCCCGACGGTCTGGCGCGGCACGACCCGTTGTGTCGAGCGCGCAGTGATGGCTTAAAAGATGAGTGTCCAGTGTCTGACGTTCAGAACCTTTAGAAACTTAGAAGCTGTCGACTAGAAGCGTTTGCGATACTGGCCCACGGACACCACGCAGGATTCTGAGTCGCGGAAGGGCTGCATTGAGAACTTGGACTCGTTTGTTTTGAAGCATTTGCTTTCAAGCCAGTTCAAAGCTGTAGCTAGCCTCCAGACAGGTGCAATGCGCTCGGTTCTGGGCACCTTTAATGCATTGGAGTTTGCCTCCTTTCTGGCCATGGCTCAAGACACGTCTCATTGTAGTGCATGCTCTTGGCCTCCCTCTATCCGGAATCACTGTCGAGCTGCATCTCTGCACCACATCATGGCACACACTTCAGGTTACGCGCTTGTAGCTGCACTGGCAGCAGCTGCCGCTTTGGCCTCGGCGTTGGTCTGATGGTGATGCTGATGGTGGTGGTGGTGGTGGTGCTGACGTGTCTTTTCTGACGTGTCGGCACAAATTGTCGCCTGTGAGGCATCCACTGCATTCTCGCAGATTGCTCGAACTGCACGAGGTGGTGAGACAGATATCCAGGTGCCGTGGCATTAGCGTCTGGTAGGTACCCTCGTAGCTTGCACTCGGCATATCCACTTGGCTCAGGCGCGAGCCGGCGGAGTGAGCATAAAGTTGGATGCGCCCGCCAAGCAGACAGAAGCTGCCGCTAGCAGACTGGCTGCATGCTGCAGATAATTGCAGATCAGTCGTCTGATGCACGCCAGGTCAGTCCGAGAGCAAGCCTGGCAGCGATGCACTGCTGGCAGCCCTTTTCGGTGGTGTTGCAGGCGTCAGTGATACAAACCTCAAAATCACGCGCTTTGCTCGCTCGCATGTGTACGGG